TTTTTTCATGAAAAAAGTGTGCCTTTGCACAAAAAGGTTGAAAAACACTGCTCTATTAATATATTAAATGTGAGAAACAAATAAACCAACTTAGTTTGGGCAATTTGCATCTTCCTATATGCCAAACTACCATTGAAATGGCAATTAAAAGTTAATTTGATTAGAAGCATATATGTATTTTATTCAGTGCTTGTCACTTCACACTGCTGTTTCTGAAAGACAGAGATGGTTTAGATTTGGTATATGAAACAATAACTCCTGAAGAAGTTTTATGCTATCACTCAAACAGATTCAAGATAATAAACATATCCAAACTTCTCCAGTTACTAAATTTACTATATATTTATAATGTCCATCCTCCAAGTGTGACAGGCCTGAAGATCCAAAGAAAAAGATGGCCTCTATGGATGACATCAGGTAGTTCTCATTTACTGAGCACTCATTCAATGACTGTTTAAAGTTGCAAAAGTGCTGAACAAGTGGTGTTTGTAACCAGGCCTTGAAGTTCCAGCACCCTTGTAGTCATATGATCATGATTTAGGAGCCCATCAACCAGCTGGCAGTTATCAGCTGCAGCAGGCCACACTCACATGATCACAATTTGTGATCTTCTCTGCCACCTTTCCACGAGCAAAGCCAATGGGAAAGTTGCAAGTCACTCCGTTAAATCCATACTCCTCTGTGAGCTTTCATGCACATCCCTATAACTCATGTACAGTCTTGCAGCCAGGCACCCGGGGCCCCACTCACCACCCCCTGCAGCAACCCCATGCTCCTTACCTGAGATTCCTGCCACTTCCTGCATGTCTTGGGATTATGACAGCAACCAGGATTGCCTAGATTGCTGTCACTAAGTGATGCAGTTACATGATGTCATGCTTTAGTACCACATCACTCAGTGATAGCATACAATTGCCATTGTAACACAAGGAGTACCTGTATAAAATTAGTTATTTTATGGTTATTAAATTTTAATTTTAAGATGTGATTGCTGAAGATCAAAATTAAGGATTCTTCTATAAGTCTTTTAAGAACAGAAATCCATTGAATCTATTTTACCTGTCTTAGGAAAAGTGGAAGTAGGTTGTTTCAATGCAATTCATCAACCAGATGTTTTGGTTCCAAGTTGTTTGAACTAGCAATGCATGATGGTATGTGCTGTGATGGTATATGTTACTCTGATGGCACTCACTGGCTTAGAAGGCTTTGCATTTAAAATAGAAGTCTAATATGAATACATTTAGGATTCTTCTTACTGCCCCAAAGAATCTTAATCTGAGGCCTTTTCCTTTTTTACAGATACTTACTATCATCTCCAACAGGCCCTGCTGAACATTGTGCTGGAGGATCACGTGCCAGATCATTCAGCTCCTAAAAACCAGGCACATTAGATTAAAATACAGTCATTTTATCTCACAGGAAAGCGTTCACTATAGCATTATTTTATTATTAAATTTTATTCAACATAAAGGAAATGCATAACATAATTAACAAAACAATCTTCAGAGGAATACTTGTATATACATTCTTATTACCCTTCTTCATCTCTCCCTGCTTAAAAATACAATAGACACCCCAATTTTGGAGAAACAACTCAAATAATTTGCTCCAGTTTGCACATTACCACTTTATAATTATACATTTGGTTTTTTAACCCATATTTTCCCCAAATAACTCAAGGAAGCATCCACTATTCTCCACTCTCCTCCCCTCCTACAAATATTTGTAATGACCCTAGCAAAACTGTTGTCCATTTGATAAATATAAATCTGCTCCAACTTGGACTCTGACTAAGCAAGGTAGCCCGTGATGCCTATGCCCAGTCTGATGATATAATCTGGGCTGAGTTTAAATCAATGGCTCAAGAGGAAATGGACAGAGTTCTCTGGGCTGTCAGCCTGGCACTTGTTTACTGGATCTGGGCCCGACTTTCGTTATAGAAGTGGTCAGAGAGTGACCTGCAGTTGGGTCTATGCTGTGGTGTCAGTTTCTTTGCAGGGCAGCTTTGGCCTGAAAGGACTTTAACACAGCTTCATCTCAATCTCTTCTACATTGAGAGGCCTTTCGGACAGTCATTCATGCTTTGATCAACATAACTGTATCCGTGCTCTACATAGGGCTGTCCTTGAATCTTCAACTGGTCTGGAATGCAGCAATACAGGGAGTGATGAGCATGCCTCAGTATATACCCATGTACCATATTTTCAGAGTATAAGACACATCTTTCCCCCCCCCCCCAAAAGAGGGTGAAAATCTGGGTGCCTCTTATACACTGAATGTAGCACTCCCGAAACCCCGCCCCTTCACAAAAACGGATGTGCATAGCCTTTACGAGGCCTGCAAAGTGCTCCTGGGAGCTGGGGAGGGCAAAAACAAGTGAAAAATGGGCCACTTTTTGCTCGTTTTTGCCCCTCCCCCCCCAGCCCCCAGGAGCACCTTGCAAGTCTCTCAAACTCTCTGCATGCCCCATTTTTCACAAAAAACGAGGCATGCAGAGGGTTTGGGAGGTCTGCAGAGTGCAAACACTTTTCTTAAAATTTACCTCTTCAAAATCTTGATGCATCTTATACTCCGAAAAATACGGTAAATTCCTGAACTGCATCAGTTGCACTGGATGCCAGTTTGCTTCTGGATGCAATTCAAGGTGCTGGTCATTATCTAAAAAACCCTACATAGCATAGGCCTATGGACAGTTTCAGAGTGCTATTTCCCATAATATCTGCTTATGTTCTTACTGCAGCTTTTCTTTGTTTTATAGACCTGCAAAGGTCATAAATGCAAGCATTGATTGTAATGCTACTTTTTCATCATTGTCGTGAATGGTCACCACAACAAGGCATTCACTAAACCAGGATTACCTGTATTAGATCTTGAAATCTACAAATTCATACTCAATTCACAATAAGCTTTGAGATTAAAACATCAGTCATTCAATGAATATTTTGGGAGAAACAAAACGATTTTTAAGAGGAAAAAGCTTAATTTGCACCATTTGCACCACTAATTTGTAAGCTATCTTAAAAAGCATGGCTTTTTATGGAAAACTTTTATGGAAAAAGATTTTTATTTCTTTTCCGATCCTAAGAATTAGCTGTACCACATTCAAACAGCATCATTATTCCTATTACTAATTTTTCCTTTATGCAACTCCCCTTAATCTCTTCAATTTATCAAACAGAACAATTATGAGCATCTACCTTGAAAATACCAGCATCAATTTCTATAAAATGTGGAGAATCACCACCATATAATATAGCTTTCCTGTTAATGTAATTCCATTGTGATAAGAAATAAAAAAGACGCAGGCAGTGTTGTACATTTATGTTTCTCCCATAATAGGATCTTTTGATTTTTCCAAATTCTGCTCTGAAACTCAATCTCCAACCACACGAAGAGATACAGGCTCTTTCTAGATCTTAAGATTCAACTCATGAAGCATTTATATAGGCTTTTCCATCAAGTATCCAAATATCTTCTTGTAATGAGTAATATAGATGACTGAACATGTATGTTCCTATACAGTGACTTACTTAGCTTTCCCATCTTCTTAGCTTTTGAATCTCAGCTATTTATCCTTCCTTGTGCAGAAAGCAAAGAATCTGTCAAAGTGTCTTGGAATAGGGGCAAAACTAGCTTCAAAACAGGATTCAAATGGCATATAATCACATCTAACTATATGGATAGTCCTTGAGTTACGACCATAATGGCACCTGCTCTATAGTCAGAAGTTGGAATGACCTTTAATTGAACCACTCACTTAACCCACTTTCCCCCATTCCTGTTCTTCCCAACTCAATCATTAAATGGGACAGCCTTTAACTGAACAGCCTCACTTAACAACACCCCATCCCTGTTTTGCCCAATGCAATGCACGGGACATTAAGTGGAGCGTGGGATGTCTCAAAGGAGGGGGAGTCCCTGGGAGGCCTATTGCAGGACAAGGTCACCTGCCTCGAGCCTCCCTCACCCCAAGACACCCTACGCGCTGCTTCCCACCCCTGGGGATCCACACAGTCCTTGGGTCTTCTTCCCACTTTCTGGCTCCCCACAGGGCTTAAGCCTCCTCCCCACCCTTACCTGTTGCAGATGGTGCGAGGTGTTTGATTTGCGAGGTTGTGTATGAAAGAAATTGGGGGGGGAGGGGGAAACGAAGGGGAAAATGAAGTCTTCAGCAGCTTCACTAAGTTTTGCTTTTGGAAGAACTAAGGCTAGATACACATCACCATGGGCATAGCAAGACCATCCCTCCCTTCGTTTTGCACATCCCCCTTCCCTTAGTTGAGGAGCAGAAGTTGGGGAAGAGGCCGGAATGAAGTCTTTGCTCTTCAAAGGTGCTTCATTGAAGGTGAGGGGAGAGAGGAAGCCATTGAAAGGTGGGTAGAAAGCTGCTTCCCTGATTCTCATCCTTGCTAAAGAATAGGGAAGACGTGTATTTTATGCTCTGTCTGTGTCCTTCATTGCTAGGGGGAAGGGGGAAGAGAGACGACTCATGTTTTAGTGGATGTTCTTGTTGCTGATGGGGGCATCTTTCCAGAGCCCCGTTGGCCATATTGAGAGCGCTGTATTTCTTCCTGCTCTCCATGGAAGCGGCACTTTTGCTCTTGCCTGGTGAGAAAGCCCAGATTTAAAGGCTCCCAGTAGATGAGCAGCTTTGCTAAAGTAGAGGCCAGACTCAGAGTCTGGCACCAGAGAGTAGATCCAGTCCCGAATAGAGAGGACGTGAGTTCCTGGACAGGAAGAAGTCACATGGTTTGGTGAGCCTACTCTAGTTATGGAACACAACAGAAGTAGATCCCTGGATTAGCAGGAGTAGGGGACTCCTACATAGGGGGAACTGAATGAATTGCTGTTGGTATTTCCCTTACAGTATTTCAAAAATTCCCAATGAACAGCAGCCTTAGCTCCACCATTAAAGGGGGGGGGGGGAGCTGCAATAGTTATAAGTCTTATTGTGGTTTTGGACAGTCTGTTGTAACTTTATACAGTCACTAAGCATGCAGTTTTAAGCAAAGGACTACCTCTATAAAACCTTCAACTACATATCATCACAGCTGACTATCTAAAAAAAAAGCTCAATTCAATGCATTACTTTTTTGCTCTTTTCTCCGCAAAAAAAGTCATAGAAAGATTGAGCACACAATAAAAATATGCCTCATCAATGGCTATGCTAAGACAAGCCATTACAAAAATGCATTACAGGTAGTCCTTGACTTAGCAACCATTTATAGTGACTGTTCGATGTTCACACTGACACTGAAAAAAGTGATTTATGACTGTTGTGGCATCCCCGAGACCAAGTGTTCCAAATTCGGATGCTTGGCAACCGGCTCATATGTATGATGGTTGCAGTGTCCTGGGGTCATGTGATCACCTTTTGCAACCTTCTGAACAAGCAAAGCGAAGCCAGATTCACTTTATGATAATATTACTAGCATAACTGCTTTGCTTAACAACTGTGGCAAGAAAGGTTGTAAAATGGGGGAAAACTCAGCAACTGTCTTGATTGGCAGAAGAAATTTGGGGCTCAATTGTAGTCATAAGTCAAGAACTATTTGCACAAAACACCTGTTCTCCTTGGGAAGGCAGGATGAAATTTGGATAAAAGAATTCATCTTCTCCAGAAACAGGACGTGTGTTTGATAAATCCTTCTTTAAAAGTGAGATAGAAGTAATCATCTTGACCAAGTTATTCCCTTCCACTGAAAGAGCTTCTAATTAGAAGAATCTGTCACAGTGAGTTTTTTTAAAATCCTTTCTTCAAAAATATTATAATAGACTTTTTATTTGTTTCTATAGAATGACAAAACTGGTCAGCCACTGATTTACAGGTGGCATGAGTCATATGAACACCTATCAGTGAAAATATTCCTTCAAGATATCATGCACAGAATTATAGCACCAAATAACTAGGAGTGTTTGCTTATAGAATGATCTAAGCACTATTTCTGGCTTGTCTCTAAATAAAGCATAAAGAAATACAGAAAGTACAGCATAAAATGGAAGTTGGCTCCTAATTTTTTTATATTGCTGCAAGATTCTGGACAAAGAATGAAACTGAAATCAACTCACTGTTAAGAATTTCTATTTTTAAAAATAACATTTGAATGAAACAATTCATAATTATGCCTGCACTGTAAGGTCATACTTTAATCCCATGGGACAATATACCTGGAGAAACTGGTATTGTATTTTATTTTTTTTGTTGCTAAGAAGAGAACAAAACAGAATGTAGTGATCACATCTGTATTCCTTTGATTTTGATACTAGTGGAGCTAAAAAAGAACTATTAAAATAATGTTCTCATAAAAATGGAGATCATTCTAAAATTGTAGAGAATTCTGTGTTATCTTCCTTTTTTGCTATGAGTGGTC